CAGTAGAGGACTTCAACTCAAGAAACAAGAGACCACTGGGGAGGGAAATGAATTTTCTCCTATTTTAATATCTAAAGGTTTCTAGAGGCCCCGTGAGGGAGTGGCCACCAAGCCTGACTTAACCCTAAGTCTGTTCCCCAGGACCCACATGGTGGAAGGAGAGAACTGGTTCCTACAACATATGCTCTGACCCCTACATGCGTCGCTAGCTTCTGTTAACACCACAGGCCAAAGGCAAATCTTTCACACATGATTTCAGGACATTTATCAGTATGACAGTAAAGAGAGAGAGCCCTTCCTCACAGGCACTAAAAATAGAGAAATGATGGCAGGTTTAGAAAGCCATCAGCTTGCAAGGGTGGCATCTGCTTTGGCCAAGGACCATCAGTTTAAGTTGTCACCCTTGTTATGCTGGGTTTGAGCTAGATAACCCCATGCTGTGCGCAAGGGTGGGCGTGGGAGAAACCGCCAAAGCACAAACCCAGGTGCCGCTGCTTTCAAAGGGGCCATTGCCTTCCTGGAATGTGGTTTCTTCTCTCCTCATTGTGAAGAGCCAGATGGAAGCAACTTGTAGGAGACAGGATTTATTTAGTTGTTGGTTTCCTGAGCTGAACTCCTGGTGATGGTTCTGCTGCTTCACAGCCTGTGGTAGGGTGGGCAGAGTGGGGAGCAAAGAGAGACAGGGAGGGCCAGGTTCCCAATGGCCCCATCTCCTGTGGGGTCCACCGCCTCCCAGCAGCTTCTCAGGCCCCAGAACATGCTTTCAGCATGTGGACCTTTGAGGGGTATCAAGATAAAGTACAGTACAGATCAAAGAAGAGATGGAAGATTGAAAATAACAGAAAACACTTTCTCAACCTTCCTTCAATACAGTCCCTCATGTTGTGGTGACCCCCTCTCCCCGCCAGCTGTAAAATTATTTTGTTCCTGCTTTATAACTGCGATTTTGCTACTGTTGTGAATTATAAACATCTTATATGCAGGATATCTGATGTGACTCCTGTGAAAAGGTCATTCAATCCCTTCCAAGGGACATCAAGACCCACAGGTTGAAAGTCATTGCTTTAGACAACAAGACTGGGAGACAGAGGTGACATTCAGCAGGAGGGCAGACCCAGATGGCCACAGCCGAAGAGACTCCATGAGCAGGTGGAGGCCCCCATGGTTGACTGGGCTTCCCTCTCCACTGTGCTCTTCCTTCTGAAATGTTCACAATAGAACATAATCAGGAAAAAATTGATAAAGAAAAAGAGTGCCCAGCTCCTCCCATAAGAAATTGGGGACTTAATATAATAATAAACAGTGATAATAAAGAGCCTACTGTCTGCTTCTTCAAGTTGGGATTTGCCCAGGTGTAGTGTCTAGCCCTTCTGGGAAGTGGTCATGGATGGCTCGTGTGTAAATTGAAATCTTGATAAGGGCTTCAGCTCTAGCTTTAAAAATGTTCCTTTCAAAAAAAATCCCTTTCTGAACACTTGCTTATCCCAGAACCTACTCAGAGGATATTATCAAGTAGCGTGCCTCGATACAGGGACGAGAGGGGAGGTAGGGCAGAGCTAGCTGCCACCATGAGTCTGTGGGTTCAAACCCCACCATGTGCACAGCAAAGTTGGGCAATAATAATGGGCAACATTGACTTTGATGAGGCAATTCCACAGAGGCAACTCAAGGCCTTCAGTGAGATGGTGTACAGCACAACAGACTGAAGCAATGGAGCAGAGCTGGGCCCGCAGCAAGCCCGCCAGCCCTCTGAGAGCTCAGAGACTGAGTCACTTGGGAAACACCGCATCTGAGCTGTCCCAGCCAGCATGATGTAAGCTAAGGGTGCCGTGCGATGGTCACTTCCCCCAGAGGCACTGCTATGGGGCTGGGCTCAGCTAAAAATGTTGGAAATGGCCCACCTAGGTGTTTAGATGGTCTGGGGTTTGCTCTCTAGACCTACCCCAACTGCCTACGCCTTTTAATTGTTGACCCTGCTAGCGTAAACAAGCTAGCTCTCAAGCCTTGCAGTGTGCAAAGTGTCTTTGTTCCGAGTTCTAAAATTTTGGCCTTGTGACTCACAGTGAGAAGCCGGTGGTGCCCCTGGAGACAGCACAGAAAAGTCTGGTTTCAGAATGAGGTTTGGAAACTGGCAGCACTATTCTGAGAGGGCACATGTGCACTGGAGCGTCAGCCAGTGGTGGCTGGATGTGACTGAAGGGACCCTCCCCTTCTGCCCTGCTGCCTCCCAGAGAACCCGGGCTTTGTTTGCCTGTCGCTTATGCACAGAGCATTGTAAGTGTTGGCCAAGATGGCATGTGAGACTCAGGACAGCTGCTCTATTTACACATCCCAGCTCCAGTGGTGGAAGGCTCAGCAACGCCAGACAGTTTTCCCACATGGGTCCAGGCCCCAGACAGCCCTCAGTGAGGCAGTAGAGTCCAGCTCCGACAGGTTCAGAAAGGTGAGGAGGAGACACGGCCCAGAAATAAACCCCAACCTTGCCCTGTTCCCACATGGAGGCAGAATGTTCATGGCAATGGGTTCTACCTGTCACTCCTTTGGCCCAGCTGTGGTTTTGCTACTGTTCATTAACACTAGCTATGAAAACCTCCCGTGTAGGACTGGGTTCCCTCAAACACCACCCTTTGTCACATCTGTCACATATCACATTCGCAGGCACACCATTCTGGGAAAAGAGCACCAGAGTATGTGTACATGTGTAGGTATGCACATACATGTGCGTACATGTATTATATGTGCATATGTATTCATGTGACATGTATATTGTGCATGTGTGTGTATATATGTGAATGTGTACTTGCATGTGTGATTGTGTATATGTTATGAGTGTATGTATGAATGTGTGTGTATGTATATGTGTGGATGTGTGCGTGTGCATGTGGTGTGTCAGCATCTTGCTCCACCACTTTCCTCAGTGACCTGCCCTATCGAGTCCAACCTCTCCCACACTCCCACAGCTGCTGGTGCTTCTCCTTTGACCTCTGCACCCTGGCTATGCAGCAGCCTGGCTATGCAGCAGCCTGGCTATGCAGCAGCCTGGCTATGCCTCAGCCTGGCTATGCAGCCATCCTCCCCTGGATGGGCAGTGCGTTGCTGCCAGCCTCCTGTTGCCATTCATGAGCTTCCAGTGACAGCCTTTCCAGGTCTCAAGGGTCAGTATTGGGTAGATTGTCCCCCAAAATGGCTCTGGGCAGCCACAAGCTCCAGCAGGATGCTCTTATCTCCTAGATCACCTGCAGCTTGTCTTAGGATCATCCTTCTTCGCTCCCTCCCTCCCTCCCTCCCTCCCTCCCACCCTCCTTTCTTCCTTCCTTCCTTCCTTTCTTCCTTCCTTCCTTCCTTCCCTTCCCTTCCTCGCTTCTTCTGTCTCCCTCTTTCTGTCTCTTCTTTCACCCTTCTATTCTAGATATTGAGCCCAGAGCCTTGTGAATGCCAAGCACCACCACCCATACCCCCACCCCAGTTCCCAAACTGTATCCCCCCACCCCATGCTCTCCAGGGTCTCACTATATAGCCCAGGCTGGCTGGAGCTCATGGCCTCCTACTTTAGCCTCTTGCACACTGGGATCAAGGTATGTGCCATTTTGTTTCTCAGAGCTGAGGATGAACCCCAGAGCCCCATCCGTGCTTGACCGCTGAGCCATAATGTATGACTGTAGACTTTATTTAGCCTGCTAAACAACAGAACCACAGCACTACCCAGCTGAAATGGGGACCTTCTGACCAAGCTGTCCCTGTCCTCCTGCCCTTCACCCTCCACAGCCTCTGAGGACTTGATTTTCTCTCGAGCTGTAAGAATTCTGTGCTATATTCTATACAGGAGTGAGAACATATGACTTTGTCTCTCCAGGATTGACTTTTTTCTTTCTATTTAAATGCTTTCAAGTTTTAAAGTTTTCCATGTATAGCTGTCTTGTCTACATATGTATCTGTGCATCACGTGTATCTGGGGTCCATGGAGCCCAGAAGAGGGTATTAGATCCCCTATAACTGGAGTCACAGATATTTGTGAGCTACCGTGTGGGTGCTGGGAGTTGAACCTGGCTCTTCAAAGGAGCTCTTAACCACAGGGCCTTCACTCTAGGCCATGACTTCTTCCTTTTCTTCTATTTTCTTTCTTTTTTTTTCTTTCCTTTTTTTCTTTTTTTTATCGAGGTACTATTTGTCTGCATAACCCAGGCTGTCCTGGAACTCGCTCTGTAGACCAGGCTAGCCTTGATCTTGGAGATCTGTCTGCTTCTGCCTCTCAAGTGCTGGGGTTACAGGCGTGAGTCACCACATCCAGCCTGACTTCTAATTTCAAACACAAGGGTCTCCAATTCCATTCATGTTGGGTGACACAAATGGCAGGACTTCCTTCTCTTTTGAGGATGGATAGAATCCCGCTGTTTACACACACTCCGGTTCTTATCCACTCATCCACTGATGATGTGCAGATTGACTCCATATGTGGGCTCCTATGAACAGTACTGCCATGGACTTGGAAGAGCAATTGTTGGGCTATCTTTCCCTGCAGGGTCCTGAAGACCTGGGAATGCATAGAAATAAAGTCACCACACAGGATCATCAGGGCTGTAGCATTGATTTTTCCATGTAGCTTGTTGGTGGAGTCATTGTGTGCTGAGAACTTGCTGTAAGAATAGGCACCTAATGGCCTGGGCAGTCACAGATGGCTTTCTGGTCCAGGTGTGGTGGAACACACCGACAATCCCCACAATCTCGAACCTGAGACAGGAGAAATTTGAGTTCAAGCTAGTCCTGGGCAACAAGAGCTGTTTGGGCGGCCTAGCCTGGAGAGTGGGCAGTGAACAGGAAGCAGGCCCCTGAGAGGTGGGAAAGGGACGATCCAGAAGTGCCCAAGTTCTGTCGTCTCACGGCCAGGTCAAGCTAAGCCCCCGGTGCTGAGCCAACAGGGTCGGGTCACCCACCTGTACTCCCTGAACTGAGGCGCAGGCGCAAGTCAGCAGGGTGTCATATTTACATGCCCAGGTCGAGGGGAAAACCCAGGAAGTGTGGCCTAGGCCTAACAAAATCTCAGGCTAATAATAAACGGCCTGAGTAATGAGTAGCGTGGGCCAGGACAGGCAGGAGGCTGGAGCAGCGGCACAGGAGCATGGTGAGTAGCCAGCTGTAGTGGGTGAGGGCCAAGAAGGTGTTCTGGGGGCTGGGGATCCAGCAGTATCACCCCAGGTACAAACCAGGGCTACCCAACTTTGGGACAGCCCCGGTCCTGTACACGGGAGAGGTCTCCAGGTTCAGGTCTTGCGTACCAGGGGTTACGGGTCAGCCAGACATGTAGGGGCCTTCTTTTTGTATCCACATGCTCCAGGTTTTCTCCTTGGGTCTCTGGATGATTTCTAATCTGGTAGATATGAGATGCCTCGGGACTCAGCGCTCACAACTCTGTCCCCACTTAGCTGTCGTGAATTTCTAAGAACTCTTAGAGTGCCCAAGAGCACAGGTGTTGAGCAAGAAGCACCTATGGTGTTCTTGGTGGCTAAGTTCAGCCCAGGTCCTTTGGGGACCCACGAGAGAGACTGGGTTCTGTGTTTCAACCTCTCCCTGTCCCCATTCTGCCTTTTCCTTTTATTTGACGATTGTTGAAAGAGCAGGTCTGTTGATATGTTGCGCTGCTGGGGTCTTAAGTGGGTTCCTCTAAGATTCCCCATCAGGAAGGACTGGCTGCGCTCGGCGACTCCACCTGCCCCACACCCAGACTCGGCTCAGGCAGGCCCTTGCTAGAATTTTCGTCTCTGTCCAGCATCCATGTCCACCAAAGACGCCAAGACATACGTTTCTCAGAGAATCCCATGGGGCAGTGACCAGGGCCACCTTGACCGCAGAGGAAATGCCATTAGACCTGGGACCAGGAGTTAGGGATCAGCTAGAATGTGCTGGAACCCACAGCAACTTCTTGGTGCTGCAGTGAAGGTGGAGAGTTCAAGTTACCGCTGGTCATACACTTGCCCTTGGCCTCGGATAAGCCGTTTCTCTTCAACTACAAAATGGTTCTCAAAACCACAAACCTGTTTTCCACCTTTCAGAGCCTCTTCACAAACAAAGGCTCTGGGAAGTTAAAAAATAAATAACAGCAACAACAACAACAAAATCCTCCAACTTAAAAATATTTTAATATTTCTTATATTTGTACCACCTTGAAATAGGTATATATTCTTTCTGCTCTTAGTTTCTCTATAGCAAAAGCTAAGACCGTTACACATGAAATTAAAAATAGAAAACCACTGGCCAGGTGTAGTGATGCACTCCTTTAATCCCAGCACTCAGGAGACAGAAGCAAGTGGATCTTTGTAAATATGAGGTCAGCCTGCTCTACATAGTGAGTTTTTAGGACAGCCGGAGTTACATACATAGTAAGACCCTAGCTTGAAAAAGCCAAAATAATGACAATGTTAATAATAATAATAATAGAAAGCCATTGAAATGAAAGTAACCACCTTAATATATTTCACACAACAAACAATTTTGTTTTGCTCAAATAGAAACATGTTTTGCATGAAAACGAAATAAACCACAAGTACTTGGTTTAATACAAAAAAACTGTAGCTTGACCCTCACCGTGTTCTTAAAACTGCCGAGGCGTGTCATCCTAATGGCCGCATGGGACTGCTTGCTCATGGTGGCCTCTGACTGGTATTGAAAGACTGGAGTCTTTCCTTCCTCTTTCAAGGTATTCACAATAGCAGCCAAACATGTGTGTCCAGTTTTCAAAAGGTGGGAACTGACGATGCGAGGGTTCAAAGTTGCTTTCCTTGACGCCTGGAGTGAGGGGTGAAGAATCCCATCGGTTTGGAGCATGGGACAGAAGCGCCTGTTGCTGCCACCCCGCTTTGACAATCTTAGCGAGTGACCTCACGTTCCTCCGTTCCTCCGTAAAGGCACCTGCAGCACCACACTGCAGATACGTGAGGTCTTTCTGTGTGATACAAGCTGCTGTCTTAGGTTTCTTTAGCAGGTTTCAAACTAATCCGTCACAGCGGTCTTCTGTGGAGCAGCACCAACCGTCATGTTGGGGAGCCTTTAGGAACTGGAAGTCCTGCTGATTCTTGGGCTTCAGGGTACAAGAGAGCTTCTGTGTTGATCTGAGCCCAGTGCACAGATCTGGTTTCTGAGAGCAATTCCTCCTTCCATGCTATTCACCAACAGAGCTGTCTTCTCCAACCTCCTTGCTGCCTGGACCACCGTCATCCTTAGGGGTCTTCTGCCCATCCTAGGGGCTGGGTCGTGCTTCTGGACTTTACATAGATCTGGGTGGTGGGTGAGAAAGAAGGGTGGACACAGCTCCTTCCTAACAGCCGGCATTTGCCCTCTGTCAACCTGCGCCTCCCTGTCTGACCCAGTGGCTGTGGTGGCTCCAGACATCTAGTGGGTCATGGAGTCTCTCAAGGTGGCCTGGGCATCTAACCCGCTCTATAGGGAGATCAGTAGCTCCACTTAAAGCAAATGATTTTGTGATTTTTGTGTCACAATTGTGTAGCCACCACAATACCCCCGAAAGAAACCCTGTCGATCTTCCCTTCTCCCACCTCCAGCCTCAGACGACAACTAATCCAATCCCCATCTCTGGAGCTTTGCTTATCTGGGTTATTTCGTATCAGCAGCTGATTCTCAGTGTATGCTGTGACTTCAATTCCCTTTAGTTCATGTGTCTTTACAGGCCACCCATGGAATATCGCATTTTAGGGATAGACTGTATTTCTTATCCACCCATCAGATGACCTCATCTGGGTGGCTGCAACTCTCTGCAGACAGAGGACAATGCTTTTGTGAAAGTGAGTTTAGATTTTGGGTGGATCGACTCTTTAGGATAGTCAGCTGTCTAGATGTGGAACCGCTGGCTGGCACTGTGACTCAGGTGAACGCTTTAGCTAGCCAAGGCACTTGACAAAGTGGCCGCAACACAGTAACACCGTCAAATCCCATTTAACGCACAGGGTCCTTGCTGACTGTCCTTGTCAAGGAGATAGAGTCTCTCACTGGTTCAGTTTGCCTTTCTCCAGTGCTGAGCTGGGCATCTTTCCGAGTTTGCTGTTCATCATGTATATTTTTGGGGAAATGTCTATTCAACTCTTTAGCTCATTTTTTTTTTAAGTTTTAAAAGCATATCCTTTGGTCTTTGATCAATTTTGAGGTTTTTTTTGTGGCATTGGTTAAGTACTTAACTTCATTCTTCTAAATGTGTCTATCCAGCGTTCTCTTCAAGACCGATTGCTAGAGTGATTACAAAACACCTTAAATGTATGACATTCTAATTTGAACGACAGCCACTGTTCAATGAAAGACTGGGTTTTGCCCCATTGAATGCTCACGATAGGCCTGTGAAGAAGCCGTCTGCTCGTACTGGCAAAGGTTTGTTTGTGCTCCCCATCCGGCTCCCCTGGCCAGACCTCTGTCGCCCCTGTCCACACCGGTACTACACGGTTGGCTGTGGCAGCTCTGCGCTGTTTATAGCCAGGGAGTATGAGTCCTCTAGCTTCTCCCTTCCTTTGAAGATTATTTTGACTGCTCAGTTTCTTGACATTCCATTTAAATTTGTAGGTTAACCTTTTCTGTTTTTTAAAAGTTGTTAGGATTCTGTTGTTGACTATATGATTAGTAAATTTGTTCTGGGCCATATTGCCATCTTAAGTCGTCCAGTCTACGGACACAGGTGTCTTTTGACTTATTTAGGTAATCTCTTTCCATGGTATTCTATAGATTTTGGCATATACTTCTTTCACTTCTTGGTTAAATTTACCAAGTATTTTATTTCTTTTTGTGTTATTATTAGTTATTGTTCCTTAATTTCCTTTAGGATTGTTCTTTGCGAGTCTATGAAAATTCAGTGGTTTTTGATTATTGATTTTTTAAAAAAATCTGCTAACTATGTTTTTATCAGTTCTAACAGTTTTGTGGTCCTTTTTATTATAAGATCACATCATCTGTGGACAGAAGTAGTCTTGCCTTTCTTCATTCCAATTTTGATACCTCTATTTATTTATTATTATTATTTTGCCTAAGTGCCAGAGTTAAGGCAGCCCGTTACTCTAATTTCATCTGTAACCAGCGACCAAGTCCACAGAGACTTGGATGAGGCTTTGGCCAGAGGCCACCTTGACCCAAAAGAAAATACCACAGGACTTGGGACTGGGAGTTGGGAATGAGGCCGAATGTGTGGTTGTCCCAGTGCCATGCTGATCAGAAGAGGGCAAGGGGTACAGTTTTGCCTCATTCCTAATCTTACCTAAAAACTTTTCAGTTTTTCCCCATTGGCATGTTATTGTCTGCAAATTTTTTATCTATGGCCTTTCTTGGGCAAAAGTTTTGTTTTTTAACCCTAGTTTATTACACCTGGTATTTTCTTGTTTTGGTTTTGTTTAATCAGAAAAGGTAGTGAAGTTTGTCAGAGGCCTTTTCTGCAACCTTTGGAATGACTGTGTGGTTTCCTTCTCAATTCTTTCAATGTTGCACATGGAACTGATGGCTTTTTGTAGAACTGAATCCCTGCAGCCGTCTAGGAACAATCCCCTTTGATGGTGGTAATTAAAGCGCGGCTGTTGGGTGTGCTGACATGTTGTTGAGGAACTTGCACCTGTAGGCATGGACCTATCTGTCTGGGCTTTTTCTTTCAATGTCTCTTTGGGGCTTGCCATACGACGTATTCTGTCTGATAATAATCGTGAGTTGGTGTCTGCTCTTGGAGAACTATGTGTATAAAGTGTCTTGCTCTGTGCTTTTACTTTAGATCTTCTATGTCCTTTGATCTGAGTGCTGGGATTGGGGCGTGGCTAAGGGGGAGACTGCCTAGTGCTCTAGTCCCCGGACTCATCGGAAACACCACCACAAACAAAAACAAACCCTCTATAAATAGCATGTAGATGAATCTTGTGGGTTTGTGCAAATCTGACTGCCCATTTCCGCCTTTAAATATGAGAGTTCAGATCATTTATGTGTAGTACTTTTTCTGATAAAGATTTATTTCTGCTGTTTATATATTGCTTCCACTTTATTTATTTTGTGCATGGATGTGGGGAGGGGACTTTGGTGCCACGAACAGTGGGTGGAGGTTGGAAGACATTTTGTGGGAGCTGATTGTCTTCTACTGTATGGGGTCAGGTGATTGGGCTCAGGTTGTCAGGATTGGTAGTAGGTGCCTCTACCCACTGAGTCATGGCACTGCCCCACCCTTCTTTATGTAGATTTTTAATTTATTTTCTTAGTGATTATCTTAAAGAGTAAAATTAACAAATTGATCTTGTGATACCTTAATTTGAATATCGACTTAGTTTCATTAATATGCAAAACTCTATTCCTAAAACTCTCTGCCCTTTTCCTTTTATGTTTCTATTGTTACATATTTTCTCTTTGAATACTGAATGACTATTAACATAGGTTTTTAATAATTGTTTTATGTAGTGTCTATTAAATTATGTAGGGAAACAGGAATTTCAACTCATAACAAGCATGCAATAATTCTTTCCTTTATAAAAGTTTATCTTGACTGACCTTGTGGTGCAAGCCCATGATCCCAGGTACCAAGAAACTGAGGCAGCAAGATTGCAAGTTTAAGGCCCTCTCTTGGCTAGAGACCGGATTCAAGGGCGACCTGGGCCAATTTAACAAGGCCTTGTCTCAAAGTAAAACAAAAGAGCTGGAGATGTCACTCACTGGAAGAGTGTGCTTGGCACCTAGGAAAGCCTCGGTTCAGTCCTTAGTACCACATGCACTTGCGTGCACACACAAGCACACACACATACGTAGACACAGAGACATACAGACAGACATACAGGCAGACATACACACACACACACACACACACACACACACATTAATTGACAACCCAGGCATGGTGGCTGGTATATTCCTTTAATCCCAGCACACAGGAGGCAGAGACAGTGAGTTTTGAGATCAACCTGGCCTACATAGAGAGTTCCAGGCCAGCTAGGACTACATAAGGAGACCTTGTCTCAAACAATAAAACAGAGCTTGGAGTTAGCAGTTAAGAACATTAGTTACTCTGCAAGAAGACTGGGGTTCAGGGCCTACATGGCAACTCACAGCTTTTGGTAATTTCAGTTGCAGGGGCTCTGCAGGCATCAGGCATCCACATAGTACATAGACATACCTGCAGGCAAAATGCCCATATACATAAAAAGAAAGCAAAATAAAAACTAATGTTTTCCTGTGCAGGGACCTTTGGTAGTGTTCCTCATCCTTTCTCGGGCTCCATGACACTGTCCAGTCTCTTCCATTACAGTCAAGATCTCTGGTGGTGCTGGTGATGCACACCCTTCATCCCAGCCCTGGGTAGGCAGAGGCAGGTGGATGAAGGACTCTTAGTAGCCTTTGGTACCAGAAATGTGTTTCCTCAGAATTTGTTTTCCTGTTTGTCTTCATTTCTCCTTCATTATTGAAAGGCAGTTTTGCTCAGGACACAACTTGGGGCTGGCAGCTCTTTTCTTCCAGTTCTTTAGATCCTTTATTCCATTCTTTCTCATCTCCATCAGTTTTCCAGAAGGTCCCTTGTACATAGCAAGTTGCCTTTCTTTTTCTTCATAATGATGATGATGTTGAGTGTGTATGGGGGGTGGGGAGAGAATGTACATACGTGTGAGGGCCCAGGTGCCAGGGTAGGCATGTGGAGGTCAAAGGACGACTTGACAGGGTCAGTTACCTTCTTTAACCCCTACAGGGGTCCCAGAGGTCAGACTGAGGTTTCCAGGCTTGGGCAGCATAGGCATCTACCTGCTGTTCCGTCTCCTGGCACACAGCTTGTGTTTGTCTCATTACTTTCACAATTCTCTTTATCCCCAGGTCCTATAATTTTAGTGTAATGTTTCATGGCCCAGGTTTGAGGGTTTTTTCTTTCCTTCCTCCCTCCCTCCATTCCTCCTTCACTCCTTTCCTTCCCTCTCATCTCTTCCTCCTCTTTTCTTCTTCCTTTGCCTTCATGTATAATGGGCAGTGCTCAAGCACTGAGCTGTATTCCAGCCTTTAAATTTTTTATTTATTTTATTCACTACTTTTAGTTTTGAGGTAGTCTTGCTAAGTTGGGGAGCCTGCCCCAGCCTCCCCAATGGCTGAATCATAGGCCTGCAGTAAGCCTGACGAGCTATGAGGCTGAGTATCTTCTCTGGTGCCTGTGGGTGATTCTGTCTTCTTTGGAGAAGTGTCTGCTAGCATCTTTTGTAAACTTTTGATAAGACCGAGGGTTCTTTGTTGAATAGTGAGCCACCTGAGTTCACCGCAGTCTGGATGCTGGCTCTCATCGGTCCTTGTTGGGCTCCAGTTTTGTAGCCAGTAGTTGGGATGGCTGTCTGCACTGACTGTGGGCGGATTCTTGGTATTTTATTCAAGAATGAAACAAAAGCTCACACAGATTGCAAAGTAGCAAGAAAACTCCATGCAAAAGCAATCAAAATGATCAAAATACACTGCAAAGGAGCAGTGGCCAACAGAGGGAAGAAGGTACTCGAGAGCCCCAGTTCAAGAGAAGGAGGAGCTTGGTTTCTAAGGGTGTAATATGAATGCGTCTCTGTTTTGATGGATAGATTAGGTGATATGGGCATTTTTTCTATTGCATATGTCTCTTCCCATAATGCAACTGATTTTAATCATATGTGTGCCCAATTATGCATATGCATAAACTGGTAAATAAGGAGTTGCTCCCTAAAAGTTCCTGGCCTGAGGACACAGTTTTGTCTTACCAGATATGCACCCCAAACCAGTTCAAGTTGGATTGGTCTTGCTGTTCTTCCTATTGGTACATTAGGAATGTGTTTGAATAGAAACTGAATTTGATGATTGTTAGGGGCAGAGCAACTTAAGTCATTCAGAGAGAGGTGTAGCTCCACACAGGTGGGGGTCTGAGGTTGGAAGGTGCCTTGTTTGAAGAAGGGTGGGTGTGTAGTATTGCAGGGGAGGGAGTTGGGCAGCCAGGAGACAAACTTGCCTAACCAAAGCCAAGTACCCTAGGACTAAATTATCCCTGTGTTTGCCTGCCTCCGTGACACCAGCACTGTGACTAGGGCTATCTTGCTCCAGTATAGTCAGGCTCCAGTGTGACTTAGTGTCGCTCGGCCCACTGTGACCTGGCATTGCTCTGCCCCACTGCGGTTGGGCATGCCCATGGTGAACCTAAACAATGGCGGGAAGCAGCCACATCCATGAATGCCAAGGCCACAGTGGGGACCAAGAAGGGGGTGTGCATGCTAGTGGTAGACAGTAGGGTCCTTCTGAGGTCGTGCTCTGAGGCCAAGAAAGGAGGAGGGTCACACGAGGCAAGTAGATTGCAGGGATGAAGGGGCCTTGGGCGGACGAGGCATCCTGTACTAGGGCTCAGTGGTTAAGAGCACCTGCTGTTTTTGCAGAGGATCCAGGTTTGGTTTCAAGTACCAATGAAAAGCAGCCCATAATCACCTATATCACCAGTTATAGGAGATGCAATGCCCTCTCCTCACCTCCACAGACACCAGGCATACTGTGGTATATATACATACATATATACACACATATAAAATTAAAATAAATAAATCTATTTTTAAAAGATACTTACTCACTCTGCATGAAGGCCTCCATGTAGACCACTAGGCAGACAATGGTTGGTACCTAGGCACACACCTCCACACATGTAGAGCAGCACACAAGCCTACAGGCAGACACACACAGACAAGCTGACAAGGGTGAAGGCTAACACCTTTACCTCTGACCTCAAAGCATATTTATAAAGATATGGCATTCTGTCAAGGACAGTTAGAGGAGAGATGACATCATTGTTTGCTTCTGGGTTCCGCAGGCATCCAATGTCAGTCATTTCGGGCTGACTCATAGACCCCTGATGTCTAACATTAGCCACCTCAGCCCAGGCTGGGCATCTAGATCAGAGCCAGGTTGTCTACACATAACCTGGTCCTTAGAGCCCTCTGTTTAGGCAGATGCCACAGATGGTGGGGAAATAAGCAGAGATCCCGGGGAGGAGGCCTAGGACACATGAAGAACAATGTGTGAACAGACAGGGTGCAACTCTATTAGTGAGGGACCCCTGGAGAAACCATTTTACGAATGGGAAACGGGGAGAAAAAAGAACCCAGCCAAGATCACAGCTGAGGTGGAAGCCAGCTTTGTCTGCCCTCGGCCTGCTGAGACAGAGAACATCTCAGAGTGTGGCAGGGGAGGCCACCTGGGTTCTGTTTGGCCATCTGCTTTCTCTCCTAATGCTTCATCTCTCCTTCCACAGGACAGGTGGCCAGGGGCGACTATGGCAAACTGCCCCAAAGAGCAGTACTGGGACTCCTTGACCAAAACCTGTGTCTCCTGCATCTCCTGCAGCCAGAGGAGCCAGCGCAGCTGTACAGATTTCTGCAGTGAGTTCCGAAGTCTGAGCCATTTCCTCACCTGCCCCAGAACCCCTCTGGCCCACCTGCAGCCAGGTGGAGGACAGGGATGGAGGGATGAGATGTGTTGTGTGGTCTCTTTCCATTCAGCCTTTCAACTGTTTGTACACTACCCTGGGAAACTGCCTACTCCCCTACCTGAAAGCATTTCCTAATCTTCTCTTCGCTTCTTTTCCCTCAGCCTTCAGTGTCTCTTAGCGATTCCTAGAGGACTTCTCTGACCACAAAGGAGGAATTAGTCCTAATCACGTAATCCTTCATCTCTATCTCCTCCTTAATTTTTTTCTTCAAGTTTATTCTTTGGTAATTCAGTCAGTAAATACAATGTTTCTCCACCTTTTCTGACAACCTCCACCTTTTCTGACAGCTCTCCTGTGTGTCTCAGGCTAGTCTTGAACTTGAGATCTTCCTGCATCAGCCACTGGGATTACAGGCATGTACCCCCTCCCCAGCTCTAATGTTGCTTTGAAACATTTTATTGTGGAAATTATCAAACACATAAATATGGGGATAGGCGAGCACAGCACACCCACCTGCACATCTTCAGAAATTGTTAAAACTCTGCCTTTTCATTTCCTATCTCGTTTTTTCCACTCAAGTATTTTTCAAATATTTACTGATTATCACTCGGTCTTAAAACTTAGTTTCTCTCTCTCTCTCTCTCTGTCCTCTCTCTCTCTCTCTCTCTCTCTCTCTCTCTCTCTCTCTCTCTGTGTGTGTGTGTGTGTGTGTGTGTGTGTGTCTGTGTGTGTGTGTGAAGATATTTTTGGTAGTTAGTTCTCTCCTTCCACCATGTGGGTCCTGGGGACCAAATTAGGTAATCAGTCTTATTGGCAAATACCTTTATCCACTGAGCAATCTTGTCCACACTGGTGGGCAAGATATTTAAATATTTAAAATATTTAAAGAAACCTAAAACTCCATTAGTCTTAAAGGGAGAAAGCTCGTGATTTGTGGGGAGGGTCTCAATCAATGTCACTTGGCTCTTTATTTCTGGGTATGTGGTGAAGGCAGTTTATTGAGAAGCGAGTGGGTAGTATCTCCTCTTCCCGAGTGAACCTCCTCCAAGTAGGCTATGTCCTTCCTTTCTGGCTGTGCAGCTGTGAATGGATCCCCTCACCCAGAGATTAGCTTCCCATCCTCTGTTCACCAGCTGGGACCCTTGGGGCATAACTTCTGCTCAGCATCATTACCAGTGCAGGCCGTTGTTCTTCCCACATGTTGCCAATATATCACCACGGACTTTCCCAGCTCCCCTCCCCAGCTCTTCAAGGAGGGTTCTGGCATTTTCTCTTCTATTCCTTCTACTAACTTGAAGTGTGTTTCCCCTTCAGGAGATTTGAAAATGCAAATGAACAATTTATATGACAATGTAATAATCTAGATATTAATTTTAAAAGATGTGTAGAGGGGACTAGAGAGATGGAACAACAGTTAAGAGCATTTGCTAGTTTGCAGAGGACCCAGTCCTGTTCCTAGCACCCACACAGTGGCTCACAACCATCCCTAGGAGTCTCACACCCTCTTCTGAACTTCACAGACACAAGGCACACATGTGATGCAATGCATACACGCAGGCAAATCACTCAGGCACATAGCATAAATAAGTCTAAAAAATTTTAAAAATATGTAGAAAACCACCACATTTGAAAACTAAGAAGTATGAAAACCTTATAGGTCATAGAAGAAACAACAACAATAAGAAACCAGATGCATCTTCAGCTATGTACAAGAAGATACATATAAATAGAGATATAAATATCCAAATGCAAACCATATGGCTAGAGAGCACCCAGAGGGCCCAACTGACCTGGAACTGCCGTGTTCACATTGAACCATATAGGGTCGGTTTGCTTTGTTCCTTCGCTGTGACATAGTTTTTCGTCAGACCCCGAGCTCTCACACCCAGTAGCATTGTTCTTTGCATCTCCCAGAGTTCCTCAGTTGCCGCAGAGAGCAAGGCAAGTACTATGACCATCTCCTGGGGGGCTGCGTGAGCTGCGACTCCACCTGCCCACAGCACCCTCTGCAATGCGCACACTTCTGTGAGAAAAAGGCCAGAAGCCGGATGAACCTTCAGCCTGAGCTCAGGAGACCACAGGCCGGGGAAGTGGAAGCCAGGCTAGGCAACTCAGGAAGGCACCAAGGAGCAGAACATGGAGGCTTGCAGATAGATTCAGGTGAGTGGCCAGAGGTCAGCGCCTACGGTATCCGAGGATCAGGATGGGGAGGAGGCCAAGCAGCAGGCTGCAATAACGAGTGTCTTAGCTTCAAGAGGCCCAGGCTGGCAAATAGCCAGAAGCCAGGGAGGTCACTCCAGGTAGAAAAATTGAGACAAAAATTTCAGAAGTCTCTGGGACATTTTGACACACATATATGATGTATACTGCTCAAATCTGATACCCCAGACACTGAACTAAGTCTTTGTAATGAAAATATTCCAAATCTGTTCAGATTTTCCCCTTGATTCTGTGCAGTGCTGGGGCTGGACCCTGAGCCTCATGGTGCTATGGTCAAGCTGCTGAGTCATGCACACATCTCTCTAGCTTCTGAGACACCCAATACACGTGTGGCCTAACCAGCCTCCCAGGGTTGTTCCTTTCTACCTAAGCCACTCTGAGCTTCTCATTTCATGGGATCAAACAGGGCCCAGCCCAGAACAGAGTTGAAGAGAATGATTCCGTAGGACCTGGTGTAGGCGGCAAACTTTTTTTTTTTTTTTTGGTAAATGAAAGAATTAATCAGAGGGAAATGATGAAAACTCAGATCAACCTTCATGACGAAAGTTGTTGACATTCATTGGTCAGGGAGGTGGTGCCCCAAGACCCAGAGGCACAGCTTCTGAACTTGCAGAGGAATGCAAATTACGTGGTTTGGGGGATGGCACAGCTAGGGTACAGAAGGAAGAGCGGAGGGTATTGTCAGGGGCAGAGCGAGGAAGTGAACTGCTTTTCTGCATGAACTGTTTCTTGGAATGGCTGGATGAAAGATAGGTCAGTTGCTTTTCTCTGACCCTCCAGGGGATTAGCTGCTTTCTGGGAATTCCATGGTGGCAGCTCTGGGACCTTGAGCTTCTTTTAGGGCGTCGGTTCTGCGTGAGGGCAAGGGGGGACATTTCCATTAATCCCAGACCCTTTACATATGAGGGATGTGGGTGCTGTTTTCTATCTGGTGGGGGGAGCATCAGCTGGGGGCTCTCAAGTCTGGAGTGACCCTAGAAGAGGCATTGTCTTTGTCTTTACTTCATCATGTGTGATGGAGCAGAGGAAGGCAATGATGCTGTCTAGGAGAAACTGGGGAAAAAGTTGAAAAGACAGGGTAAACTCTAAGTATGAGGATGTTAAGGAGGAAGGGGCGAGAGGGGAGGGGCCAGGATGAGCAGGAGCCCACTCAGAGGAGGCTTGTTCTTGAGTTTTCTGTGTGTGGTCTTGAAGCAGTTTTGATCTGTTGGTGAAGAAGCAGCATTGTCCCTGGAGGAGCTGAAGGGTGTGGAGAGGATCTGGGTGTAGGCTGTCCGCCAGCTGCCAAGACAGGGGGATTGACTGATGTAAAGAACCCCATTTCTGCTGTCCTCCTTATAGTCCCTGGAAGAATGCCCAGAGTGACAAGAGGGATGAGTTGGAAGGCCCTCTCTGCTCTTCTTGATGTAGGTGTTGAGACAGGATTAGAGTTTCATGGGTATAAGGGGAATGGTGAGGCGGAGGCTAAGAGGACAGGTACCCGTCCAGCTACTGGGTAAGCACACAGAGACATTTGTCCTGCAGCCCCCAGAGAGCCATATTTCGCAGGGAAAACAGGGAATGGAGTCAAGAATAGTTACTCGGTGTAGCATTCCCTCTGCCGGGCACTTTGGAAGAGCGTCCCAGGGACATGGCAGTGAACGGCTGCAAGCTGACTAGGAAAGACAGGTTTATTTAATGAATTGGTTCACTTTGAGCTAGGTTTTGGTGTTGAGAGGACACTGGTAAGGTGAGGTGGGTTCTAGGAACCTACAGGCCGTGGAGGGGTCAGGTTTGAATGGGAACAGATTGTTAAGGATTTGATAGGATTTTCCTAGAGTAGGGAAGACAGGTTGTCCTCCTGTCCCCAGCAGTATTAGGAACCAGAAGAGTATTCAGACAGCTGGATAGCGGTAAATGGTGCCAGGAGGGCCATCTGTGAGGAAGTGCTTCAGACAGCCTGTGGGGCAAAGGTGGGGAGGGTGTGCTGCGCTGGAGGTTGGAGTGGTCGCAGGGAGGCGGGGTCTGCCAGCACGTAAGGGGGCCTGTGATGTCAGCTTGTTTCTGACTGGTAAGATGCCTTGAGCAGATGTTGGGGAGGAGCGAGTTTTCGAACGTCTTGCTAGAAGATGAGAGGTACAAGCCCTTTAGGAAATCCCTCCCTACTGTTCCAAGGGTCCCCCAGTATCTTTCTGGGTGAAATGGAAGCCTGTGGGTAGGGCAGGGCAAGCTTAATTAGCAGTTAGAGACCAATGAAGACACACCCAAAAGAGGGACAGAGAAGAAAACCTCTACAAGATAGAGGGGAGACTTTGGAGCCCCCAAGCCCAGTCTCTCCTCAAGAGCTAGGTTTTGATTTTTAAGTTTTTGAAGGGTCTTTTTCTCCTAATTTAGGGTCAGTCAGTTTTGTTTCTTGTTTTTGTTTTGTTTTGTGTTTTTATTTTATTTTGTGTGTTTGTTTTATTTTAAGACTACTTCTATGTAGTCCTGGCTTCCTAGACCTTGCTGTGTAGCTAGACACACATCAGACTCGCAGAGATCCACCTGCCTCTGCTTCCCGACTGCTGGGATTGAAGGTATGTGCCACCATGATCAACAAGGATTGATTAGGACAGATTTGAACAAGGACAGGGTAGCTGATTGACTTATAACCGTGGTCTCTCAATCTAGCTTTGAATGCATGTCATAGGGCCAGTCCATCAGCAGGGGGCCCCACTGAGAAAAACCATCAGGCCTTTGTTTTAAGCTGCCAGGCTTTTGCCTCAGATAAGGAAGAAGCTGGGCATCTTGGAAGTTCAGCATCCTTATTACCTCTCTCTGTCTGCCTACCAGGGGGTCTGGCTAACTCTAGTCCCTCATCCCTCCACTCTCAGAGGACCCACTAACTGCTTAGGGACTTGGAGGCACAGACTGTTCTAACTGCTTATGGGCTGGCAAAGGGGTGATGTAGAATGGACAGCATTTAGAGCCCCTCAGAGGAGGGTCCATCCAAGGGACCACAGTGTTTAACATCTGGCAAAGCTCCAGAACATCAGAGTGGTGATAGTGTGTGTCCTTGGAGTGAGCTATGTGAACAAGAGAGCAGCAGCAACACACCAAAAGTGAGATTGCTAGTGTATCATAATTCTCACTGAGAGTCTAATTAAAATAGTTGGATAGTTTTGCCCTTGTTAGAGGAAGTGGACAGACCAAAGAACACATGACAGGCTCTGTCATAAGGATCAGTGAGATTGATGATTTCTTTGTTATCACCCACTGTACGGTGTACATACATGGAGGGGACCATATTTAAGTTCAGAGGTCGGCCATTGGGTCTATTACAACTACGTGAAGAATGTTAAGAGGCAAAGTTAATGAGGAAAATGTCTCAATGAGACAGTTTCATTACTAAATGAAACATATGCCGAAGGATACAGTATCTGTACAATAAGCTGCTTGTTACATCAGACTCCAGTTTGTATAAGGAGTGAACACCTAGAAACTAGGAGAACTTGGTTAAAGTCAGCATCTAACTGACAACTTAAAGGAGAAATAGAGTCCAGACTGTCCACAATGTCTCATGGGCACTACATGGGTATCCTGAGTCATTTCCACAAACCTGCCAGTGGGAGGTACAGAATGTCCAGCACAGACTGGTCAGTCCATCGAGATAGGGCACAGATGAATGTCCCTGGGGGCCGGGTGAGGGAAGATGGGGAGGGAACACAATGGGACAGGGACAGGAAGCTTTTCATTGGAGACAGAAACAGGTCTCAAATTAGGGGGTGGAGATGGCTGTGCAACTTCATGAACGTGGTTTAAAAAAGAAGCGTACACAATTCACTCAGCGGTGAATGTGATGACTTATAGATTACATCCCGGTTTTTAAAACAAAGGTACTGACCCCCGCCCCTTTATCTTCTAGCCCCAAGTCAAGGAACAGGAGAATTAAGGAAAGTCCAGTTCAAAACGCACCTGACACCCAGAATGGGCTGAGTTTCGCAGTGTTACTATACTATGTTGGAGAAAACACTCCAAGCACTTAAGAGATTAATAAAGGGAAAACTGAATAATAGTGTGTGACTGATTCTGGCTAAAGGACAAAAGGGAACCGGCCCTGAACAGAAATCCCCCTCAGCTTATCCGGACTCATGGCCCCAAGTCACACTTTGAGCAGTTATCTATTGTTCTACAGAGACAGAATTCCAAGGTTTGATTGTTTGTACAGATGGGAAGATTTACAGTGTAAAGTATTGTCATAGTTATCTGAGACAGACCAGCCCTGCTTTTCCTAGGCAGCTGGGGTCCTCCTGCCTGCAGGCAGAATTCTGCTGGGCCTGCTTAGAGGCACAGGGATGAATTAGCCTTGTCCCGTACACACACACACACACACACACACACACACACACACATACACACACCGCCTGCCCTCTAAACTGCCTGGCAGATGTTCTGTTGTTTAACTTTACTTTTGTGGACTTAATGTTTTCTGAGCAAGTTTATTGATAAACTCTTTATAAGTTTATTACTTCCACTTCCTCCTTCGAGGGAGTGCCCCCCCCCACACTCTTCACTAGCACAGAGTATGTATGCCCTAGCTGACTGCATTACAGGACCCAGGGGATAGTTTGGGAGGAGTAATGTCAGCAGCAGAGAGCTTTGGCCTGGGACAAAGTCTTAGTCCCTCATTCAAAGCCCGAGGTTCAAGTCTTGCACTGTAAAGTGTCCCACGCCCCCCCCCCCCCACCACACCTATGCCCGGACTCCTTAGTCATCTCCCTGGTCCTGATTTCAAGTCCAAGCTCACTGTGATGCTAGAACTCATCCTCCTTGGACTGCCATCGTCGCAAACAAGCATGTGCGCATCCATCCCTGGGTCTGTCTACCTCCAAAGCACGTGGAGAAAACAGAATGGGCCAGGTCCAGAGAGGTCCAGCTTTAAAGTCTTGGAAAATTGTGCTATCAGTTTGGGGTAGGAGGGGCCAATTCTCTCAATACTCAGCATAGCAGTGATATCTTGGGGCCAGGAAAGGAATCCTATGTCCTCACCAGCAATAAAGGCCTGGGGATGGCCATGTGGATTGTTGGGCCTAATGAGATTAAAAGAAAGCCCATGGTAGGAGAGCACTCAGTCCTGGAATGAGGGAGGGTATCCAGTAGCTATAGACCTAAGGGAAAACTGGGGAGTGGGCGCACCCCTTGAACTCATGCTCTCTCTTGAAGCATCCACAGGACTGAGGGTGAGCAGCGACCAGTTGGCCCTTGTCTACTGTACACTGGGGCTTTGCCTCTGTGCCATCTTCTGCTGTTTCTTGGTGGCATTGGCCTGCTTCCTCCGGCGTAGAGAGCCGCTTCCTAAGCAGTGTTCAGGGCCATGTGTGTCCCAGGCAAAGTCTCCCCACCGTAAGTACAGAAAGCCAGGCCTCCTTCCCGGGCAATCCCCAGCATAACTCTCCCCTTCCCTACCCACCACTACCCTCCCTTCCGGGTGGGCAGGTTCTGAGTCCACGGGAGAGGCCTGGGCATCCTGAAGCATCTCAGCAAAGTCAGGTTCAAGCCGCAGGGCCAGGAGAAAGGGTGGGTGTCAGGTTGCTAGCTTCTCCTTTGACAGGCGATCCAGAAAGGGGGGCATCCAGGGGAGGAGGCTAGATGGTTTCTGGGTTCAGGGAGAAGTGAGCCTAGCCTTGAAGTCCTGGGGTGGCTGTAGAAATGCTGGGCTGCTGGACCAGGCAGTGTGGCACAGCCCTCGGTGCCCACAACACCCTCTCTGTCCCCTCAGGCCCCGCAACAGAGGCTTGCAGTGAGGTGGTCTTGCCACCCCAGCCTGTCGAGACATGTAGCTTCTGCTTCCCGGAGCGCAGGCCGCCCACACAGGAGAGCACACGCACACTCGGGACTCTCGGCTTAGCGGGAACCGCTGCCCCGCAGCCCTGTGCACGTGCATCGTTTGACACCATGCGTGTGCCCATCGGAGATACTGGTCCAGGAGCTTGACAGCCAGTGAAGAAGGAGACAATGAAGTGGATGGAGTGCAAGAGGAGGGAAGGGATGAAGAAGAGACAGGAGGAAGACACGAGAGAGAGCCTGCACCCACCCACAATGAAGCAACCACCCACAGTGCCCACATCCCAGCACCACCTGTGTCACGGTTTCCCAGACTTTAGGCAGAGCAGTCACCTGTGCGCTCCTCTTTAGTGGAGAACGATGGAGAACAGCAGGCACCTGGAACATCGCCCTCACAGTTCTTACGAAGAAGCGCCCTTCCCTAGGGCCTTAGGCAGATAACTGAGTGCAGTGTGTATGTTTGTGAATAAAATAATTTGTACGAGTGTGTGCAGATGCTGGGCCGTGTCATGTGCACGTGTATGTGAATTGTGTGTGTGTGTGTGTGTGTGTCATGTATATATGCATGCACATGCATGTGTGTGAATTTGGTGCATGCAGTATGTGTGTCCACATGTGCATGTGACCAATGTGATGTAGCCAGGAAGGCAAGAGACTCCAGGTGAAGGCCAAATGTCTAAAAGGATGATGGGTGTTTCCTGGACCTCACCATGAGTATGTTCAATTGCATCCATTCTGAATGAGCACCTATACACTTATCCTTCTAGTTGCATTTAAACCTCCAGGTGCATAAAGCGTTTTCCCAGCAAACTTAAGTGTGAAACCATACACAGTGAAATTTCACCCTCCCTACCCTGGTACTTGGCAGACCTACCCACAAGTGCACTCCTGCCCTCACCATCCACAGCTAGCAGGCTGTACAGGGAGAAGGGCGCCCTTCACAATATAACACTGATGCCAGCTCTGGTAACACAAGGTGGCTGCCGCAGAGTTTGGAAACCTGCAGTCAAGAGGTCTGCAGCATTGGCTCTTCCTGAGGCTGCACACACCTGAGGCTGTACATGCCCAAGGCTGCACATACCTGAGGCTGCACACACCTGAGGCTGCACACGTCTGAGGCTGTACATGCCCAAGGCTGCACATACCTGAGGCTGCACACGCCTGAGGCTGCACATGTCTGAGCTGCATATGCAAGGTTTGTCTTTGGTTTCTCCTTACCACTCTACACTCTGCCTTCTCTCTCTCTCTCTCTCTCTCTCTCTCTCTCTCTCTCTCTCTCTCTTTCTCTCTCTCTCTTATTCTCCATCTTTCTCTTACTCTCTCTCTCTCTCCTTTCTCTGTTCATTCTCCCTTTTAGATCTCATGTTATGATCCACCTAATGGCTTCATTTTGACTTCTCTGTCAAAACTCCAAATGAGGCCACATTCAAAGCACTAAGGGTTGGGATTTCAACATAATGAGTTTTTGGGGACAAATTCAACCCACGATGGAGGCCCTGTAAGACCACCACTGCTTTATTTTTGTTGACAAATTGGCATCTAACAAGTTTTTGTCTGAGGCGTGTCTCACCAAGTATTGAGCCAGTCTACATCAATACCACGCCCACCATGACCAGCTTCCTACAACAGGGTTGCTGGGAAGCCCCAGGCCCCTGCTACAGACATGTGCTGACTGTGGACTGAGGAACACATAGCACATGCTCAGAGACAGACTCCAGCGCTCAGCTTGTCTGGGAGATGAACCTATTTCTAGTCTTTAGGATCTGTGGTTTTAAAACTTTGCTCATCCAAACCCAAGGGGCTGTGAGTGCCAGATATTTCTGGGACTGAGGGTGAGAGGTGCCAGGACACAGGGTGCTGAGAGCCCAGCCTTGGTCTCGGTTGAAGACAATCTTGAGAGTGTTTGGCCTGCTTTTCAGTGGATCCTGTGTGTAATTTTTTCCTTCTCTTTGTAAAGAAAGGGCTCTTTTGCCAACTTTATCTGTTGTGTTGGCTCAGCCTGCAGAATATAGCCTGATTCCACTCACATGGTCCCCTTACAAACTTTTATTAGTATATATTAACTGAATAAAGCCAGTTTTGCTGCAGCTTTCACAAGTCTGTATACAATGTGCTTTTGTAGTCTTCCCCACCCCATAATCCTCTCATCTCCTTCCACTGGTCTTTCCTCTACATAAATCAGTACTCACCTCATTTCATGTCTTTAAAATGTCTAGATTCCATAAATGTGAGAAAACCTAGTGTTTGTCTTTCTTAATCGTATTCTCAACACGATTTCTCATTGCAGCCATTTTCTTGAAGATGATAAAGTTTTATGAACGATGATAAAATTTTATTCTTCATTTACAGCCTCTTCATTTCTCGATATTTTTGTTTTGCTTTGTTTTGTTTTTTGAGACAGGGTTTCTCTGTAGCTTTGGAACCTGTCCTGGAACTCACTTTGCAGACCATGCTGGCCTCGAACTCACAGAGATTTGCCTGCCTCTCCCTCCCAAGTGCTGGGATTAAAGGTGTGCACCACCACACCCGGCTTCATTTCTCTATTTTCTTACCTGGATTTCTGGACCAGCCTCACTCAGCCTCTTTGATGATACCTTTCTCCCCATCATGGATGAGGTTCCTGCATAGAACCAGGTGTGGCCAGACAGGGGCGTACCATGTGGTCTTCCTGTGGCTGCACTGTAGGGCAGAAAGGGCCAGAGAAAGAACATCCTGACCCTGAGAACAGAGCCAAGGAAACACACCCTGTCCCTAACCAACTCAGGACTTGGAATCCAACCAATCCCTGAGAATGAAATCCAACCAATCTCTGTACTTGTCCCAAGTTCAGGACTTGAGGTCCTACCAATCCCCACCCTATATAAGCCTTGTGCCTGTTCAGCTTGGGGCCGCCCTTTTTCACCCTGGCAGAAGCAGCCACTCTCCTGGATTCCTCCCTTTCAATAATTCTCGAGCGAGGTTTGTTATGCCCTGTGACTTGGTGGTATACCCTGGCTCCCAACTCCAGGGGAGTCCAACAGAGATGTTTCAACAACCTCACTGGGAAAACCCTCCCCTGCAGGAGCAGAGTCCTTACGGAAACCGTTCCTGGAGCAAGGGCCTGTGACACTCTGCTGGGGAGCAGTCCCTGCTGGAACAAAGCTGCGCCACTTGCGCTGGGCTACCTTTCCCTTCAGGGCTGTAGGTTTCCCTGGCTTCCTACAGACAGGGTACCTGCCTACCGGAGCTGTAACACTCAGCACGTGCAGCCCCTCCGGCTGCAGATTCCTGGCCTTGCTCCACTATAATACATTTCTTTCTTTGTCTTATTTTCCCCCCAGGAGTCTGAATGTGATGTTTAATGTTTCCTTGTATTGGTTAATTTGTTTATTCTGCTTTGGCCTCTTTTATGATTTTTTTGGGGTGGGAGGAGGGGTGACATTTTTCTTCTCTCCTACATCTTCAAGTGCTGAGGCCCTGTTGTCTTTGCGGTTTTCTTTGTATCATTCCCACCACACCTCAGGTTTTCTGTTGCCTTCGTCACCAGCTGAGTCTTCTCTTCAGGGCGTTTAGAGCAGACGCTTTTCTTACCATAGATGCTGCTGCTGCTGTTTCTTCCTGACTTTTCCTGATAGCCTTCATCTCCCTGCTGCAACCCCACCTCCTCACACATGCTGTCCACCCATCTGCTCTGTCCAGTAGTCTGTCTCTAGGCAGTGGGTCTGTCATTTGGTATTGTGCCACTTTTGACTGAATGCCAGACGCATGCAGAAGAGAAGACTGGAGAAGCAATTAGACCTTCATTTCTGCCCATCCACCAGTGAGAGGTGGAGCTAACCTAGTTGTGAATTAGGTGGGTTGGGGTTGCTGCCTTTTTTAACCTCAGGGTCCCACTGGCTTCATATTCCCTTAGCCATGCTGGGCTCTGGATGGCAACTGAGTTCAGTACGCTCCTGTTCTACCGCAGCTTTACGCTTTTCTCCTGGGTTCTGCCACATGGAGGGTCGTCTCCTGTTTCTGAACCTCCCTAGGTTTCAGGTAATGACGATTGTCATCGGAATGGGACAAGGAGTGTCTACGGTGAGTATCTAATGCATTGCCGTCCTCTCAGGCTGAGACAGTCCAGGTGCTCTCAGACCCTGGACAGAGAAATCTTCACTAACACCTTGACACCTCTCCCCCAACAGGGGTAGCCCTGTCATGCCTTGGGACAGCCTCTGCCACTCAGCCACAGCAGAGGACACTTCTTTCCTCTTCCTCCAACCCCAGTGGTTCTTGGCCTGTACCCCAAGGCCAGCTTTGCTGCCTTTTACCCAGCAGCTCCTGGAGTCTGGGGAGCTTTGTACATTTTCTACCACGGTGGCCGCTCTCCCTGACCTAAGGCCTGTTGCTGAGGGCCTCTGGTCTCTGTGTCCAACACGTGAAGGGTGCTATTTGGAGAACCTGTGCTGGGAGTGGGTTCCCTTTGTGTTGAGGTGCTTGGATGAGGTTGCCCCTCCCTACAAGACTTTAGTGACCAGAGGGGCACCACGAGGATGGAAATCTGGCTAGTGTACAGAAGGGCCTTTGGGAGGTGATGTCATTTAGGTATGCCAGGGTAGAGCTTAGTGACCGAATCCTGGTGGCTCCCCACTCCCCAAGAGGGTTTCTCTGTGTAACAACAGTCTTGGCTGTCTTGGAACTGACTCTGTAGACCAGGCTGGCCTTGAACTCAGAGTACTGTCTCCCGAGTACTGGAATTGAAGGTGTGTGCTACCAACGCCCGGCTCTGGCGGCTTTGTAAGAGGGACCAGGAGAGGTATGTGCTCCACCTCTGGTGACACACTGCTCCATTCTGCCTCGGCACTCTGGAACCTCTTTTCTCTATGGCAACCCTGTTAGCGGTACTATTGGCAGCTGGGAATGGATCAGTGCACCTTGTTCGTGGCCCCCACTCAGCTGACCCACATGCAACTATGCCCTTGGACTTTCTAGCCTCCAGAACCATGAGGCAGTAAGTTTCCTGCAGATGTGGAATTATAGCAACAGAAATGCATCAATACTTTGCTGGCTCCGGACATCTAATCTGCTCATGGCTACTGCACCTCCATTGGAAGTAGGCTTTAGAGCTGAGGAGGCTTTCCAGCCATCCCAGCACCTGCCTCTTCATTTTACAGATGAAGGACTAGAGGTCATAGGACACTGCCAAGGCTACTGCAGACTGGTCTCCTAATAAATGCTTTCTGTGGGAGACAAAAATGGGGAATGCATTACATGGGGCTTTAATCAACATTGGCCCTCACACTTAGTGCAGAGGACCACGGTGGAGCAGTGAGTTAACATTTCAGGTGGGTGGAAAAGGCTGCTTGTCATCCCCTTGCCCCCAACACCCTGCAGGGGAACATGTGAACTCAGGAGGGAGCAGGGTCCTTCCTGTAGACTGGTCTAGGCTGGTGCTTCAAGCTTAATATGGTTAAAATGGATCCCCACACCTTCCTGTTTCATGATCTTTTACGCGTGAACTAACTCAAGGACCTGGAATTAAAGGACTGAAGGCGTGTTCCCTTGCTGCAGGACTGCCTGTTTAAGCTCACAGTTGAGCCTCCCAGGAGCTGCCTTTAGGCCGAGCCTGCTTTCTGGGGACACCCTTCACCTAGGGCTGGGCCAGGTCAGGGAGTGCAGTCCCGGTTCTATGGATTATGCAGTATGAGCCTGCAGAGCATCCTGTTCCAGAGCCCAAGAAGCTGGGTACAGTCTGCCTACTACCTGGGACTCAGCGGGACTGGAGACCTAATGATGGGTGGGTGTCAGATGCCAGGTGAACCAGTCGGCAATTCCCACAATCAAACAAGCATCCTGAGCACTCAGCCCTAAGGTTACCAAAACCTTTCACAGTCATCCACTATCTCAGACACAGCCTTAAGACATGCGCTCTGGTCCATCCAGAAGACGGGGGAAGCTGCTCAAGTAGGTGGTATCTGTTCCACATTAGCACTGCTCTCCTTGAGTGATCGGATGCCTTGAGACCAGATGGGTCTCCACGAGATGCTGCTGGGAATGAGTGGCATCAGCCCCACCATTCCCATCGTTTTGTCTGGTGGAATCTGTGACCGCAGTTTTCAAGACTAGGTATTGGGGCTCTAAAGTAAATCAAACAGCACTCTGCAATAGAAGCTGCACCCTCACATACCATTCTGCCAACTCTGCACCAGCCTGCCAGAGGACAGTGCAATCGCTTCTGCTCCCATCTCCTCACTGGCCAGCCTGACTCAGGGAGAACTGGTAAGAGGAAGTGATGGGATGTCTACGGCAGGCTTCAAGCTCTAACTAGAAACCATTACATAATGCTGGTGCCTCACAAGTCAGTGCATCAGGTCGAGAACTCAGGTGATTAAATGGGCTTTAAAAATGCATTTGCTCTTTGTGGTTTTTATATCATACATCTTGATCCCATGCACCTCCCCGTCCCTTTATATCTACCCTTTAAATGGGCTTTAAACAAATATATTTTTATGTTCATTGGTGTTTTGTTTGCATGTATGTCTGTGTGAGGGTGTCAGAAGTCCTGAAATTGGGAGTCAGGTGTGAGTCGCCATATATATGCTGGGAACTGAACCTAGGTAATCTGGAATGGCAGCTAGTACTCTTAACTGCTGAGCCATCTCTCCAGCCCCCTTCCTTTTTGGGGGGTTAGGACTGGGGATTGAACCCACAATGTTATGCATACCAATGTACTTGCTCTACCACTTTGAGTGTTAATCTGAGTCTTAGACCCTGAGGGTAGAGAAATTTTCCACCCGTGGTACCTAGCAGCTGTCCCATTTAATCTGTTGAAACTGTCACACAGTGAGGTCAAGGGCCAACTCTGGACTCTAAGGGGCATGTTTCTCTGGACCATTTTGGTAAAAGAGCATCCAAACGAGGAGGGCCAGAATTTCAGATCTCACTGGTTTCTGAGACAAGAGTCTGATCCAACCAGGTGAGCTCTGACCACTTGAGGCTGGGATGGGGAAGAGGCATCAGCACCCACCACACACCTCTGCTGGGGAGTGTTCCCGTCTCACTAATCCTCCTGCCCAGAGAAGACGGCAGGGTTTGTGTTTTGAGCTAGGGTCTCACTGTGTAACTCTGGCTAACCTGAACTCACTATGCAGATCAGGCAGAGATCTGTCTGCCTCTGCCTCTCAAGTGCAGGGATTAAAGTGTGGTCCTATGCCTGGCAGGTAGGAGGATTAAGCAGGTGATCCATTACAGAACAGGTGGAGTGCATGGTCTCTCTACCCACAGGCAACCCATGGCTAGCCCTCCCTACCATCTTGGCTGCTACTACCCACCTGTGGCTGCCTGTGTTAGTAACAGGGACAGCAGTCAAGTTTCAGAATAAAATGCAGCTTTATTATGATATAGGAAAGACTAAGTCACTAGGGAGGAGACAGTCAAACCCCTCAAAATGACGGGGAGAAAGTGACATGTCTTGGTAATAAAATTTCTAACGACAATACAATCATTGGATTTTTCCCCTCACATTTTATTTCAAAGCTATAATAAATGAAACAAGCCACTTGTCAAAAAGAACAATGATTTTTACACAAGGAAAAGCATACATACCAAGCCAAACACAAGAGCACTCAGGTTCACATGGTGTAGGTCGCTCAGGCCAGAGCCCAGCTTGAGGGGGACTCCTGGGACAAAGAGAGGAACTACAGATCCCACCCCATCTCCTGAATTGAAGACATCTGAAGAGTGCTAGTTTGGTCTCCTGTGAGGCTGGTACCAGCGGTCACTGAAGAGATCTGTTCACTGCTCTAGACTGGGGCTGTGGTGAGACACACTTCCTGACCATCTGGGCACCTATACTGGATGGTCCTTGGACGGGAAACCCTTTTCCTGCCCTGCTATCCAAAGGGGTAGCTGAAAGAACTTCCCAAGCCCACTGCTCCAATCTGCTCCTCAGTCGTCCACACATGCCAATCTGGCTGAGACAGCATGCTGAAGGTCCCAAGACACAGAGGTAGGGCCAGACAGACGTGTGGCAGTCAAGGAGTTGGTTGGCCTCCTTGCCGCAGGCACAAAGCAAAGTGCTTACAATGTTAAGCCCACGGTAAAGAAGGGGAATGCATTTGGATATAAAGGGTTAAAGTTACTCTGACAGAAAACAGGTTTTGTCCTCCTCAGTGCCCCAAATTCAGGTAGAGATGGGCTGTGTGCTGTGGGGACAGAGGAAGCAGGCCTGGCCAGCACACCTGCTCATTTCCTCTGTCTCTGGATGCCCCATCCACCAGAGGTCAAAGAGGCAGACCTTCAGGAAGAGGTTTGGGCTCTGGTTCCTCTAAGCCAACCACAGTGAAGTCTTTCCTATGGGGGTTCACAAACAGAATAAGAAGATTCCCCAAGGGTACCTCCATAGCTGAGTCCCACAAACACAGGTCCATGTCTGAGAATCTGGGTTCACCCATATTTCTCAAAAGGGGCTTCTTCTAAAACATGCTTCAAGTTTGTTCTTTGCTTTAAATGCAGAAATAGGAACACGGGTACACTGCACAGGAGGCTTTAGCTGCCCCTGACTTTTGGTGATCTTTACACTGACTGAACAGCAGCCACTTAGTTCTGCCACAGCTACCTCATCCCGTCACAACTAGCTAAGGAGCTGGGCTGGAACCTGCCCTGCTTTTTTGTAGCCTGTCGGTAAAGAAAAGTCTTATTGTCAAATAGTTAAAAAAAATTCTGTACACATGATAAGTATATGGAATTCAAATTTAAGGTGTGTAACTAAAGAACAATGAGAATACAGCTGTACTTGCTATGCACGAATGATGCATATGATACCTGCTGTAGACTACAGCTCAGAGCCTGGTGGGCCCTGAAACTCCTAGGGTGACACGCCACAGGCCCCGGGCAAGCACCACTGAAAAGGCGGTGCTATATAGAGAAAACACTAAGACCTTAGATTTTAACTTCTTAGAAATATTCAACCTAAGCCTTGTCCAAAGACACATGCAAAATATCTTACAAGAAATTTCATGATTGACTCTGTCAGCAGAACTGGTCACCAAGCCTTTTCATTCTGGCCGTTACTGAGAGTACAGCGAACACGGCAGACGTAAGCGGGCGACACAAAGCAATGCGGCCTCCACCTGGACCACTCCGCTTCAAATCTCACACCTCCACTAAACCACCTGACAGGCAAAAGGACCGAAGACCAAGATAACAGAGACCCTGTTCTCCATGCCTGGCTACCAGCTAACTGTGTGGGGAGGAAGGCGGGGTACAGGGTGAGAAAACAGCACTGATCAAAAAGAAAGACATTCTGCTCTCAGGAAAGGTCACCTAGCTTTCCATATAAGCTTGATAATCATTCACTTCACTGCTATCATGTTTATGAAATTCACTAGCGTGGAAGAAGAGCGAAGGGTAGAGGTAAGACGATGCCTATTTCTAGAAAACAAAGGGAACATCTGGGCTGATGTTTCCACATGCAGTTAGTTGGTACAAAGTTATCTGGAGACCAGATGCTTTTAGCCTGTGGGTGGCCTCAGCCTGGGCCCAGGGCTATTTTACAACTTTAGAAAGGACACACCCCCTGCCCTTAATGCCACCCAACACAGAAGGCTGCCACAAGCACTCTGCCCTCTGGCATCATCTCTGCTACTCTATCTATAGCTTTCATGGGCTCATTTTGAACAGCGCAGTGCTTTTTAAACCCGTGTGGGGTGACAGGGTGAAGCAGCAGGCAAAGGCTCATCTGCTCTGAGGACATCCGTCCTCAGCATACCACAAGGTTGAGAAGAAGTTGCCCCTCGGCTCCTGTCCACGAAGGGCACACTCCACTCAAGTCTTACAGCTCATGCCCACCCTAACATCTCCTGGTGCAGAGGGGCCATGTGTGAGGCACATCTGCACAGGAGGGATACCACGGTGTTCTGATAGGGGTAGACCAGGGATCATGTCGGGAAGCTTGTCAACTTTGTTCTTTTCCTTTTCTTCCTGGCCAGCAGGGCAGGAGGCTACTCATATTCCAGGAACTGCTTGTGGTAGAAGAGTAGGTACCTGAGGAGGCAAAGGGGAAAGTGGGCTTAGTCCTAACTTCCAAAGTAGCTACGCCAGTCAAGAACGGTTCACTACAGTCAGTTCAAGCCTGACTTCTGAACGGACACTACAGCATCTCAAGTCCTCAAGAAAGAGACACACTACCGGCCTCCCATCACCCAGCCTGACCTGGCGACCTCCTACAGTCACTACCTCTCCTGCTCACAGCGGGGCTACCCTCACACAGGGTCCACGTCTCCTTCAAACCCAACCCCTGCCCAGTAAGTAGCACACTTTCTCCATGAGATCTTTCTGGAGGCTACCAGAGCCCAGAGCCTCACACCCACCACCTCCATCTGTGGTAGGTGGTCTGTCTTGACCCCGGGGGCTGGGAATTCTAAGGACCCGAGGAGGCTCAGGGTGAATGACGACACACCATGGGCAACAAAAGCAGCAGAGAAGCTGATCAGAACCGCTGCACAGCATGGGCAGGACAAATGCTGACCACAATGTTCTCTGATCTGGGGCACGCACAGACAGTAACTCTGTTCTACAACACTCCCACCCTGCAAACATAACCTAAGTGACATCTGATCCAAGGAGCCACTGTCCACTGTGGCAGCGTCAGTCTAGCCTGTGGCTCTGGTCAGACACAAGGGATGGACAAGCAGCAGCACAGGTCCTCCAACCCCACCCCACACGTACCCTTCACTGTCTAGCACATCCTTGATGCTGGCCTTGGTGATGATGGCATCGTCACACTTGAACCACTGGTCTTTGTGCTGCCGTATGAAGCTGGTGTAGTGGCCACTCTCCAAGGTCCCTTGATGGTTAACAACAGCAAACAGGGAGTACCTGGCGTGGAAGGAGAGAGCATCTCAATCACGGTCTGTTGAACAGCCTACAGCAGAGCTTGCTGGCTGCACAGCTGGGAGAGCCAGGTCCGCACCGCCCAGCTCTGGCCCAGCAAAGAGAACTCCTAGAACTGCACTGAACAGAAGTGGCAGCAATGGCAGTAACTGCTTTCCTTGTGCCATCTGCCTGTGCTACCAACAGCAAGAGGAATGGTACCAGAAGGAGAAAGCTCATTATATGCTGCACTCCAAGGCAAACCCTCACACCAGAAGTCTCTTAAAAATAAGGGGGGGGGGAGAGATTGCCACAAGGAGGGAGACTGTCTAGAGGGGAGACTGTAAGAAGGGAAGGAAGGGTCAGCTATCTGAGAAATGCCCTCTCACCCAGCCCCCAGGCCCTGCAACCCCACATACTTGTTGTCATTGTTGAGACTGTCCAGGGGCTGCTGGTACTGCCCATTCATCCGGCTCTCTTTGCTGTAAGGCAGCAATAAGACTTAATTACTAACCCACGAGAGGGACAGGCTCCAGCGACAACATTAACCGACGCCAAGACGTATACTTCATACACGCGAGTTTTCCTAGCCACAGGAGTGAGAAATCCAGCCTGGACTGGAGCTCACAGACCTCCGACTGCTTCTGTGCAGCCACCCTCACATCCCGGGGACCCTGAGGCCACTTCCTCCTTCAGGAGCTCTGATCCTGGCTGTGTGACGTTTGCTTGTAATACACCAAATAAAGAAAGAATTCCTTCCAAGGGCTGTAAGTTCGCCCCACACTACATTCTTGAAGAGCACAAGGGCCATCAAGAAGTGTCTCACTAGCAGCTGGCTGGACAGAATGGAAGGGAGGAGCTGTGCACGAAGTGCTAGGTTTCAAACTAATTTATTTACTTAATGCCAAAGTAAGCAGAAGGCAGCAAGACCCGTGAGACCTTGGTATTGGCAACAATGTCACCCTATCCCTGGACATGTTAGTACCTCATTTTCCAAAGAAAATTCTCATGGTCTCTGACATCACTTCAGTCAGTGACCTGTGAACCCAGGAACACAGCCCACAAGGAAGGGCATCAATGACTAATAACAGGAAGCCTGCTGAAGACAGTACAGCGGGCTGAGGTGCGGCTTCTGAAAATGCCCGCACCCTGACCCCCGAAACTGTGAGTGTAACCTATTTCTAAAACCTGTGCAGATGTGAGGACAGATGTTGAAACGAGGCTTTCTAGTCAAGCTCTATCCCTAACCACCAGTACCCAGGCCAACGGATGAGACAGTCTGACTCTGCAAGGGCCTTGGGCCCAGGGCAGTAACAGCCAGAGAAGGACCCAGAAGCTCCAGGAGCAGGTGACATGAGGGAACCCTGTCAGGACCCTTCTCACCAAGTTTCCTATTTCTGGCTTCTATTACATTGAGAATAAATTTCTACTGTTTTAAGCTACCACAGTTATAGATGCCAGTCACAGACAGCAAACACATTAGCAAGCTCTGCAGTTTTTTGAGGGTTAAATTTTATGTGGTCTATGATACACAGGATTTGATCTCAAAAAAGAGAATCCACTGGTCCAATTGAATCATGTTTATCTGTATTTCAAAATCTGTCTCTATCAACCAAAACATGTCATGTGGTCTGCCTGTGACTTTAACTTGATGAGCTGTCAATTCTGAAAGTTGATAAATGATCATTGAAGGAGTCACAGTAGGAGTCACAGAAGGAGGCAACCAAGGTAAAAGCAGGACAAGGACTGAGGCCGGGGGGGGGGGGGTGAGGCCTACACAGCTGTAACACAGCTGGTCTAAGCCCTGGCACTGATCACCCATCAGACAACTCGCCTCCCCACCGGGACGCACACAGCGGCACCAGACATTTCTACCTGGAGGCCATAAAGGGAGTCATGTCCAGTTCCAGGGGAAAAGACACGTATGTGGTAATCTTCCGCCGAAGTTTGGCTGAGTGTTCAAATCGCTGCAGAGATGAAGGGAGAAGGGAACAAATGAGCAGACAGAGCAACAGCTGGGCTGCCCAGACTGGAGGCTCCAGCAAAGGCCCTTGACCAGCTTCTACTTTACTCACTCATTTCCTGAAATAGTCCTGCTCGGGTTGACACAGAATCAGGGCCCTCCTGACTCAGCCTCCCGAATGCTGGGATTATAGCTGCATACTACCAACATCAGACTGATCTTTTTCAGTTTGAGTCTCAGCACCCACATAGCAGCTCATAGCAGCCCATAACTGCAGTTCTAGAGGATCCAACACCCTCTTCTGGTTTCTGTGGGCACCAGGAATGCACATGGTGCACAGATATACATGCTGGCAAAACAGCCATACATGTAACAACAACAAAAAGACTCAAATTCCTACTATTTGGCTTTTCTCACAGAGTCTGCTGGCCTAGACCATAATGCTCAGGTCCTTGTTTTCTGGATCTTTTCTTCCCACAGTTCTGGGTGGAACTTAGAACCTTGTTCATTTTAGGTAAGAGTTCTACCACTGACTCACACCCCTAGCTTGGGTCTTTGTTTTTTAGTGAAATAAAGTTAAAAGAGGAGCTGAAGATGGCTCAGCAGTTACGAGAGCTTGAGGACCTGAGTTCAAATCCCTAAACCCACCTAAAATGCCAGCAGTTGGACATACGCACCTGTTAACTCCAAGTAGGACCACTGGGCTTGCCAACCTCAAGCCTAAGTCCAGGTTCAGTGAGAGACCCTGTCTCCACGCAGTAAGGTGGACTATGACAGAGCAGGACATCTGACACCCCCTTTGGCCTACACTCAGAGACGGAAGTAGTAAAATCTAATCCCACTTCCTACAGCAGTTCCTTCCTGTCTTCACAGGACACAGAAAGGTGCAGGAGGCAGTCTTACTTCCTGGTTCTTGGGCCTAGCACACACCGAGGGGCTCTAACCTGAGCTGGTGAGTTTGAGGCTGTGCTGCAGGCTAATGCTGGGCTGCCCTGTGGCTAGTTTTCTGGGAAACTCACTTTGAGATGGAAGCAGGCCACAATGGGCAGCTTCTTCATGGTGAGCTGCTTTGTAGACTCTTGGTAGCTATGGCAACCGCTACACTTGATCTTGGCACTGCTTCCTAAGTGCTCTGGTCTGGTAAATCTATAAGGCATTTAGAAAAAAGGAGAAAGGTAGAAGACAGGGATAAAGGGGGAACAGGTTATTTTACCACCCGAGGTGCACAGCAACCGTTACAGGTGTTGTATTTCACAACACAAAGAACTTGTCTTTATCTTTTCCTGCTTATTCTTTCTATCTACCCACCTATCTCCTACCTACATTCACACATATTCTCTCTCTCTCTCTCTCTCTCTCTAATTTTTTGGTCATTTTTTTCTGTTACTTTTTAAAGATTGAATCAAGCAGTAAAATGGAAGGAAGAAGCAGCATTCTGAAGCAACACTGCAGAATGTGTCTCACCTTCGCAGGCAGTCTGTGAGAGTGGTGGTGCCCGATGCATGGCTCTCCCCGTTAACCACACTGCCCTCACTCCCTGGGCTCAAGGGCCAGAATGGGGTGGAAGAGCCGGGCAGGTCTAAACTGATGTCCCAGAAGGGGTCTATGGTGGTGGAGACCCCGCTGCAAGAAAAGATGGAAACACATGAGGGCACGTGAGGACTGGTGACAACTGTGGCCCGAGGCAGTCCCTAGAGACAGGCTAAACACGCTGCCTTCTCTGCCCACCTGTCCATCAGACGCCTCAGGAAATAGGAATGTCCACAGTAATGACTTTATTTGGGAAGCCTGGCAGAGTATAAAGTCCTGAGCTACAGGCAGAGCCCTGGTTGCTGGGATCCAGCTTACAACACTTAGGAAGTGCAGCCAACACTGTTCAGAAACCAGGTGCTCCGCACAGACAAAGACACCGAGAAACCCCCACCCAGAGTGCACAGGCCACACTTGGCAGTTCTGCAAACAATACTGCATTTAACAAGGCTGGCTCCTGTTAGAAGACTTACATTACAATATTAAAAAGGGGAAACTCAGAATAAGAAATTGGGTTCAGCTATGGACCAAAATTCGAGGCTATCTCTTGCTAACAGCATGTAGTCATTATAGGTCAGGGATAGAGGAATTTTACATTGATTAAAGACAAGGCTCAAAGGAGCTCTGCTCCTAGAAAACCATAGGAGCACCCCCAGATCCTGCACCCTGGTCTTGAACCCTGATAAGAGTACAGGTGGGCACCGGGGGATGGTGACCAGGGTTTTCAAACCCAGGTGTGGAGTATGCCAGGGTACTTCTCTAGTCACCGTCAAAGGAACCTTTCTGCTTCTGGAGGTGAAAGCACTCAGCAACTGCTACACCTGGAAACAACCTTGGCTTTATGTGAGCTAATGCAAAGGAGCCAACTCACATTAGGAGCAAGGACATCAATGATCTCCCATTTGAAGGGGTTATTTGCTTTGGATCTTAGTTTTGAAGACTTTAAGAAAAGCAGAGAAATATGTATGAAGTTGCCAAGGATACCCTGCTAACTGCTAGTACAGCAAAACTCTACAGGCTCCCAAGGAAGAGCTCTCAGCCTGCAGATTCAGGCAATCTGTTGATTCCTCGTATCTTCTCTACTGGAGGCATTTTACGTCAAATGGCCAAGCATTGCTGTTTAAGTAAAACTATCCCTCACCTGACACTAGTGCAGGTGCTCCACTATGAACACCACAGAGCTCAGGGAGCCTTCTCTAAGGTGGTGCTGAGCTTTAGGGCTGAAGTTCACAGAAGACTTTCCCTTGCAGACTGGGAAATGCAACAGGATATGGTACAGCTATGGCAGATTAAAACACTCGTGGTGACTGTCCAGCTGATGGGAGCACTTACTGGCAGACTTGACATGTGACATCAGACTGGAGCCCACCCGTAAAGATTTGGTCGATGATGCAATTGCAGTGGTTAGGGTTGTTGGCTTTCTTCCCATTGTCATCACCTGAGGACAGAGATGTGTGACTACCATTAGCAATGTCACCAAGACAGCACAAAGCAGCCAGTAAGTCCACATCCACCCAGCAGGCAGGAGGATACCAGGAAGACCAACACTCTATGAAGTATGTGAAGGCATTTATTTCAACAAGAGATCTATCTGATGGCAGGGGTGGGGTGGGGTGTGTCATCCTTCCTTCCTTTCCTGAGTCAGGGTAAGGTAGCTCTGGCTGGCCTTGAACTTGTGTCAGAATTGTAGATGTGCCAGCATGCTCACCCTGGGACCACTATTATTGTACAGAGGTTCACACCTGTAATCCCAGCACTCAGGAGGCTGAGACAAGGGGACCTGTGCTTTAGGCCAGTTTGAGCTACAGTGAGATGCTGCCTCCAAAAATACCCAAATTCAACTGACATTAACAAAACAACTGTGAAGATCTCCTTAGAAGCAACCATGCGATTTTTCTTAGTGGAAACAGAACCTAACTACATTGTCTATAAGACAAATCAAGCATTATCTACAGTTGCTGGGGGAGCACCAGCCTTGCTCTGCTCCATTTTTAAGGAAAGTCCCCACCTGCCCCAGCCCAGCAGGGAGATGGTGGCAGGCCCACCTTTGCAGTGCCGATGGAGGACATCCAGGGCTGCAATGAGGAATTCATGTGCGTCCTGCTGCTCATAACCTGCCAGGTGCCGGGCGTGTGTCCACACCAGGTGCAGCAGCTTGTACGGAATGTGTGGGGAGCGGTGCCCCGAGTAGAACTGTTTAGAGAAGGAAAAAGGACAACTAGAACACCTGCCAGTCTTCATCATGCAGCCTGGGTAGGTGGTCTGCTCAAACAGACTTGTTTTTCTTTCTTTCATCCAAGACAGGGTTTCTTTGTATAATAGCCTGGCTGTCCTGGAACTTGCTCTGTAGACCAGGCTGGCCCTGAACTCACAGAGACCTTCCTGCCTCTGCCTCTCAAGTGTTGGGATTAAAAGTGTGTGCTACCACCACCCGGCAATTGCTTGTTTTTCTTTTCACAAATTGTATTTAAAAAAAAAGATTTAAAATTATTTATTTATGTATTTTATGTATAAAGGTGTTTTACCTGTATGTATATTTGTACACCAGAAGTGGGCATCTGATCCCATGGGACTACAGTTACAGATGGCTGTGAGCCACCGTATGGGTGCTGGGAATTGAATTCAGGACCTCTGGAAGAGCAGCCAGCGTTCTTACTGATGAACCATTCCTCCACCCCACCAATTGTAATTTTATTTGGACTCACTAGATTCGAATCTCACTTTTCTCCACTTTACTTCTGCTGGTAGCCTACACAATGAAGAGCAAAATCAAGTGATTCATTCTATACAATGTTTGCTTCACAAAGCACCTACCACCCCTTCTTCCAGAGTGCACTTCCCAAACTCATCCCAGGGCTTCTAACACTTTTTCATTTGTCACCTCTTTGCCTGAGAAGTCACTTTGTGGAAATTCAAGTACACAATGACACTAAGTATATTTAAGGCCATTTCAGAAACTGGGAAATTGTTTTAATTCCAAGCCTTTTTATAACAACAAAAATGAAACTTGAGCCAGCAAACAGTAATTTTTAAAATCAGACATTCAACACCACAATCTAAAGCTATATGAAGATATAATTTTCCATGCTGAGAAATGACGGTAGGAAATACTCAATGTCTTTGTTTTCTATAATAACACCATTACATTTCTGTAAGAGCAGAAGACTTTGCAGATACATTAGAATCACACAACAGTCTTGGGGCAGCACTTACTGGCTCTGGCACAGATGGAACAGTGTGTTGTGTGTTCAAAACCAAGGCTGTGAAGTCACACAACACAACCCTGGCAAGCCCTGCCAAAAATACCTCAGAATCGGTATCTACTTGAAGTTCTGACTGTTGTGCTTTCAGATTTGTGTGTGTGTGTGTGTGTGTGTGTGACCTCCAGCTCTGTCGTGACCCATAAGGCTGTGTATTAAACTAATTCAGAGCTGCAAACTATCTGCTTTCATGTTTTAGCTATAAAACAACAGTGTGTAGTAAAAATCCAACAAAAGCTGATGTCAATCTTTTACCCAGTTCTGTATGCATGTGGTAAGTGAAGAAGAAAGAAGCCTCAGCCTATTCCGTGGAGCGGGTGGGACCAGAGTGTCTAGGGTTGTAGAGTGTTTGCAAATGAGGCATCCTGCAGATGGCCCAATTCTAGACGCAAAACTCAACATAAAGAAAGAAGGTATTTATGAAGGGTGTGCGCTAAACTATCCTGGGACAGGTGTGAAATTCATCACACGAGTGACCAAAAAGTCTTGGAATTTGGAACATTATGAGTTTTGCTGATCAGATGAGTAATGCTAAACTTCTATTAGCAATGACCAGCTAGAGACAACTGAGAACTAGATTTACATAGCATCAAAGCCATGAAGTACTTAGAGCAGTAAACTGTTTAAGACTGTGTACTAAAAACCAAGGGCAGCAATGAAAGTAACAACTTAAACCAAAAAAGGTGCTGGAAAACACTTCACATGAAACCCTGTACATACTAGCACACTTACATTCTCTAACTGTAAAAACTGGAAACCACTCAAAAGTGTCTGAACCAGGCAGCCTCCAACTGCACTGTGGCCACTGCACAACAGAGCCTTCTTTGGCAGGAGAGCGCTGATGAAAGTGTCACACATGGACCTTGATGCTCCACACCAGTAAGACACAGACAAACCTAGCAAGGATGGTAGAGCATTGCACATACACAACACCTGCACCTGCCACACATCCATCCATATCATGTACACAGGGGATAGAAACCTGTGTCACCAGGAACCGGGGGCTTGGCTTCAGAAAGATATGATGTTGGAGGTGTTAAGCATCTGTCAACTATATACTAGAAGTTTTACTGAATATGCCTTACTAAGCCTGAGTTTGAAAATGATCCAAGAGAGATACATTAGTTATAAAGTAATAGTTAAAACCAGTGACCCCCAGTACTCACTTCTCACCATGTTTTCTCTTTCCTCGTGACCTTCAACAATTTTCCCTGTCTGTCACATAGTCTCAGTCACCAGTAACTGCAGGTGTTAGTAATGGCTGGACTAGGACAGGAATTGGCAAACTTGTTCTGGAAAGGTTAGCTGAATCATTTCAGTTACAAAGTCACTGCTTAACTCTGTACACTCCTCAATCCTGGGCTGTGGCCTAAGGCAGCCCCGACAACACATGAGGAAAAAAGCCTGGATGCACACTGGGAAAAGATCACTGAAAGAAATGAGACCAGCTTGCTGGCTTCTGTGCAGGGCAGAGCAACCCATTTCTAAGATGGACAAAGAATTATTTCAGCTCTGATACCTGGTCTGAGGCCACTAAGTCAGTAAGTGCCGAGACCAAGCCTGAACAAGGGGACATCACTTTGCTTAGGGATAAACACTGATAGGCACAACACAAGTTTAGCTGTCAGGAGGTCAAGGACAGCCTAGTAAGCACTGGCTCTCTGCTGCCAGTCTGCGGAGCAGAGGACTTTGACAAAGCATACTTGAGAAGGGTTATCCACTGCCACTGAGAATGAAGCAGAAAAAGGGGCCAGCACACATCTGCAGGAATTTCCTGAATGCAGGGATCAGACAATAGCTTCCAAAAATTAATTAATTAATTTATATATTATGTGCATTAGTGTTTTGCCTGTATGTACATGTATGAAGGCATCAGATTCCCTGGAACCAGAGTTACAGTCAGTTGTTAGCTGCAATATGGGTGCTGGGAATTGAACTGGGTCCTCTGGAAGAGCAGCCAGTGCTCTTAATCAATGAGCTAACTCTCCAGCGCCCAGACAACAGCATTTACATATGAAACTTCCAGGATTCCTGGAGATGAATGCCATCCTTAAGTTGTTGACTGCCTACTTTGAGGGCTCTTCTCTTTGGTGAACAATGTGTCTCCAAAAAACCAAACCAACAACCTATCTCTAGCAAACCCTTTGTAAAAAGCTATGTCTTCCATAGTACAGTCACATATTGAAAATATTTAGGTAAGGTTATCATCAACTGCTTCACTTCTTTAGAAGCAGGGACAGAGGCAGCTGTATAGCTGTTCTTGCACTCACCTCCTGGAAGAGAGAGGACATCTCACAGACCAGGCAGGAGCTAGGGCTCTGCATCTCACAGCGATGCCTGTCTGACAGGAAGAAATCTCTCAGAAGTGGTGTGTGGGTCAGCGCCTGCACGATGCAATTCATGAAGCATGTGTTCCCCAGGTTGATCAGTCCACGCAGACCTGGATGGGGAGCCATCGAGAGCAGCGTCACCCGTGCACTGAGTGCACACCCCGGACGCCAGATCCCAGCCGATGTTTCCTCTACACCCCATGACCAGACACTTTCTTCAACTCATTCAAGCAGCGTGAGAAGAATAGGAAACTGCAGTGTTCTCTAATTTTCGTATGGACAGCAGAATGCTCTTCACCACCGCCCCCTCCACTTTGTTCTTTATGTTTCCACAGTATTACCCAAATGTATTTACTATGAAAACAGGCACATCAGTCAGAAAAGAGCCTTTGTAACCAGTCAAAACACTTTTCAAATAAGCTCTAGAATATACTTCCTCCCTTTTAGAAGAAGTGGTTATCAGCTGGGGTGGTGATGCACACCTTTAATCCCAGCACTAGGGAGCCAGAAACAGTTGGATCTCTGAGTCGGAGGTTAACCTGGTCTATAGGCTGAGTTCTAGAATTGCCAGGGCTACACAGAGAAACCATGTCTCAAAAAACAAAAACAAAAACAAAAAACAAAAAAGAACACCCTCACTCACTGACATTATTAACTCTCCATGAAGAGCAGCTCTGACCAGAACACATGCGCGTCCCTTCAAACAAGCAAATGCCAAGGAACTGGGAGGGATCATCTCCACTCATTCCTCTGCATCCCACATCTACAAGACCCCTGAAGACTAGGCGCTTAAGAGCTGGGTGCTGAACAAATCCAGGAAGGCCACTACGGCATGGCCCAGAAAGAATGCTGTACTAACAGAAAGGCAAGGCTTTCTACCTGACACCCTGCGCGCCCCTCACCCACCTATGGTACAGTTGGAGGTGATCTTCCGCCTCTTTGGGTTGTGCTTCAGCAGTTCCAGTTCCCGCTTGGTTGGTTCCCAAGTTGAAAACTTCTCTCCAACACCTAAGCAGATGGAAAACAGTCGCAGGCACTGTTATTTAAGTTCTCTTGTAAATAACAGTTGTAAGGCCTTGACACACATGGGGCTGCATTTCAGAGAAGGGACCCTTCTTCTAACACCCCACTGTGTTGAGAGGTGCCAGATCACCACACAAGTCTCCCTCAGCGAGTGTCTATGAATACAGCATGTCATTGAGTCAAGGAAAGAAACACAATCCATCAAACCGCCAGACACTAATGTTTCTCAAATGCCTTGGATCCAGAGATGGTACATCAGCTATAATGGGGCAACTAGTAACTCACGAAGGATCTTTCTGAAAATGAGACTAACAGAGAATACGTATTTTGAGTCTGGGGTGCAGCTTAGTGGAAGAGCATTTACCTACCAATGTGTGGCCCATATTTGATCCCCAGAATTGCCTAAGAAAAATAAAGTGCATTTTCTTTTTTTTGTTTTGTCGGCTGAGTTATGTTGCCTTGGTTGGCCTGGAACCTGCTATGTAGACTGGGCTGGTCTCAAACTCAGATCAGTCTGCTCATCTCACAAGTGCCAGAAATCATACACCACAGCCTGCTGAAAATGCACTCTGATCTACTTGCTGATAATGATAGTACAGAGACTGCAACCCACGACAACGGTACCCGAAAGGTAATGCAGAGCACACTTGGCTCACATCCCACTAGAGGGACTTGTCCTACACTACTTTCAATTTCTAACTCAGTAACCACAGATTGCCCAGACGGCCGGGGCATATGAATATCAACTAACAGTTCAAGTGTCCTGCACAAAGAAATAATATATCCCCACATAATGGTGATATGTACTGTTTTGAGGGGACAGAAACAACTAGCTAAAAACCACAAAACCCTGGACTCCTGAGAGCACCTGTTTCTACCTTCTGGAAACTTTATCAACTTGACAGAGCTAAGATCATCTGGGAGGAAAGGGCCTCAACTGAAGAGCTGCTTCCATCAAACTGGCCTGCAGGGAGCGCCACCCCTGGGCAGGTGGTCCTGGGGTACATAAGGAAGATAGCTGTGTGAACCATGGGGACCACGGCAGTACACAGCTTTCCTGCCCGGACTTCCCTCAGTGAAGGACTGTGACCTGACAGGGTAAAATGTCCTGGGTCAGTGTCTTTATTGACAGCAATAGAAGGCAAACGGGGAAGTCTTCAAGAAAAAACAGTCATGTCAGAGTTGTGGTCTACTTCCCCAGCACACAGCAATGATGCTGACATACAAGACACGTTGTTTACTGGTCAAGAGGGACGCAGACCCAGCAATGTTAATGTAGACAACTGTGAGTTTCTCTGGGACCTGGGGGAAATCAGGTGTGCCGAGAGTCTTATGTCAACTGGACACACAAACTAGAGTTACCTGAGAGGAGGGGGCCTTCTATTCAGAAAAGGCCTCCATGAGATTTGGCTGTCAGGTATTTTCTTAATTAGTGATTGGTGCCATTCCTGGGCTGGTGGCCCAGGGTTCTGTAAGAAAGGCTAAGCAAACCATGTGGAGCAAGCCAGTAAGAAGCACTCCTCCATGGCCTGCACAGCTCCTGCCTCCAGGATCCTCCCATGAGTTCCTGTCCTGACTTCCTTTGCAGATGAACAACAACTCTGAAGTATAAGTCAAACAAACCCTTTTCTCTCCAGTGCTTTTTGGTCATGGTGTTTTGTCACAGAAAAAGAAACTCTAAGACAACAGGTAAACCCAGAAATACTAAAGAACAAAACTGCATAGCACTGCTGCACCCGTGACAAAGTGTGTGACACAGGACACATAGAAACATGAAACTGGTGCCACCAGAGCCACCGCTCCACTCTCCACCCACAATCAGGGAAACGGTGCCTCTCCTACAAGGAATTGTTATGTTACTTCTGATATTATTTCAGACAGAACATCTTTCAGAATACTTTAGGGCTGAGAGTAAATCATTGATCAGGGATCTTCGCAGGCAGAATCATTCGGTCTGGATGAGGTAGGCGAAGATACTGATTTGGTAAAGGCTGGACTAATCAGGTTCCCAAATGTGCCTGCAGAGTGAGTTTTGCCTTCTTTCTGACCAGGCAGCGTCCCTTAGGAGTCACAACCACAGGGGCATTGGGGTACATGGCTAGACTGACGCCAGCGAGGCAGGAGCTGCTGGAGACCAGATGTCTACTGGACAAACACAGCACTGCCAGGCTCTCCTTTGCTCCTCGTGTCTCACTGTCTCACCAACTTCTACTCACTGTGACTGACCTCCTGGGTTATAGAGAAAAAATGTACAAGGCCTCTAATCGTATTATTAAAAGCCATTTCACTGGGCTGGGGAGACGACTTAGTGGCTAAAGTGCTTGTTATGTAAGCATGACATCCCAAATTAGGATTCCCAGCACCCATGTGAAAGCCAGAAGAACAGCATGCACCTGTAACGCCAGCGCTGGGGGAGAGGGGCAGAGTCAGTCCAATCCTAGGGGCTTACTGATTAAATGGTCTCTTTGAAATGATGAGTTCCCGGTTCAGTAAGAGATCCTGTCTCTAAACATAAGCTGGAGATCAGCAGACACCTGATGGTGACATGAGGGCACGCACACCACTATACACTGGCACCAGCACAAACACGATTTAAACTCCTTTCCTTACATATTTTCACTAGGGGTTTCTTTTACAGGAGTACTGTGTATACAGTTGTTAACTATAAGATTTTATTAAGGCTGCAGTGCATATAAAAATCATGGAGGTAGCTGGACGGTGGTGGCACACACCTTTAATCCCAGCACTCGGGAGACAGATGCAGGTGAATCTTTCTGAGATTGAGGCCCACCTCGTCTACAAATCAAGTTCTGGGAAAGCCAGGGCTCCTATACAAAAAAAAACTTGTCTCAAAAAACCAAGGGGGGGGGGCGGTGATGGAGATAGTATCTGCTAAAGATCTTTGTGTAATACTTATACTTATTATAATGTAAGACTTCTTTTTCATGAAGGGCTAATAGAAGACGCCAACCTCTGCAAATAGAAATATTTAGGAACTGGGCAGCTTCTCTATAGGTAACAAACCCAAGGATTATCTTACTATACTAAACTTTACCAAGAAGAGACATAATATCTTACATTTAAGGAGTAATTATTACCATATGTTTTTGTTGAGCACTTAAAAGTTTCAATGCTAAAATGTAAACTTAGGAAATAAATGCTACAAGATTGACACCACGTGTTGGGGGACTTTTACATGGTTTCTGGGCTTTGCTTACCTAGAATACACACATTTTGTGAATGCTCAGACAGGCTGCTTTTGATGTGTGTATGTGTGTGTGTAAATCTTAAATAGAGAACAAAATTTCTAACGGTATTGTCTCTAAGATGCATCTAACTCCACTGTAAAAGAGGCTCTTATCATTGTACCACTTAGGCACAGGCACTGTAGTGTTTTGAAAGAAAATGGCCCCCAAAGGGAATGGTACTATCAGAAGGTGTGGCCTTGTTAGAGTAGGCGTGGTCTTGTTGGAGGAAGCCTGGAGGTGGGTTTTGAGGGCCCATATATACTCAAGCAACGCCCAGACAGACAGACCACTTCCTGTTGCCCACGCAAAATGTAGTATTCTCCTCAGTTACCTCTCCAGTACATCTGCCTGACACAGCCACGTCCTGCCATGATGATAATGGACTACAATTAAATGTTTTCCTCCTTTTCACAGCAATAGAAATCCTAACTAAGAAAGACAAATTTCAACAGTTTTAGCTCCCCCCCCTTTTTTTTTGTAATGCTGGGGTTAAAACCCTAGGCCTTGCATATGCCGGGAAATGGCTCTACCACTGAGCCAGACACCGGGCCCAATAGTTAAGGAATTCCCACACCAGTCCAGCAAGAGGCAATGCAACATCCCAATCTGCCAGGGTTGAGAATAGAGTAAGAAAAGGGAGGGATTATAATGTCTAACACACCTGTGGGGAGGATGGACACAGCCTGGGCTACTGTGGTGGAAGACTCATCTATCCTCTCCTAAGGCCCAATAACCCATCTCAGCTCATCCATCCTCTC